AACATTTGGAGCACTTCCCCCACCCCAGCCTTGCAGGCCTGGCAGGAAGTGCAGCCCTTCAGCTTGGAGAGATCACTAGAGGCACTTACAACCTCAAGTTTCTTCCAATACCCTACTCTGTACCTGCCTGGCCCTAAACCCAAAAAGGTGCTGCCTGGAGCCAGAAGCTTCCCAGCCCCAGAAAACCTCTGGTGATAAATCATGCAGCAGCACCTTTGTGTCGTTGCCTTTCAGCCAGATGGGAGGTTTGCTCCCAGTCTTTTGTTTCAGGCTTTGCTCGCAGCTCTGATCCTCAGTTCTCCACAGAGGTGACGGGGGGAGCTCTTGCGGGCCAAGTCAGGGCTTGCAGCAAGTCCCAGCAAGGCTTTCCCCAACTGGGTCTCAAATAGTGTCCTTACCCTCTTCATTCTAACCTTAACAAGCATGGAAGCAGGGTATTAGGGAAGCCTGGTCAACCCACTCAGCTATGAGCAAGGATGGGAATGCCTACACGCAGTGAAAGAATGGTTTGCTCAGCAAGGCGTAAGAGGTGCCCAAGGGCACCCAGTATGTTTGCTTCTTGCTAAATAAAAAATACAGAAGAGAGAATGGAGTCAACTGCTAGAAAAGCTACAGAATCAGCTCTTTTTAACAGCTGCTCTTGGTTAGAGTAAACTTTCCACAATCCCCCAAAATATCAAATTACTGGCACCAACTTAGAAAGAAGAAACAAAGAGATGACAGAGTCCAAACTTTGGACTTTGGAGCAGAGGAGCTAGGAACTAGGGGCAAGTAATGGGCTTGAGACCTGCATCAATTGTCCCTGTACACTGACAGGATTCCTGATTAAAGATGGTAGTTATGAAGGAAGGCAGCTCCTCAATAGCCCAGCCCTCAAACTGGGGCAATTACTACCTAATAAGCTCTGAGGCCTGACTCCTTTGCCAGGCCAGTGAGAGGAAGAGCTTGGAATTCTAAACTGTTGCAGCTACAAGTGACCTCAGCCAGCACCTCTCATCCCAGGTGACAGCAACCTGAGATGCCTGGCTGCATCCCTGACCCACCTCCCAGGACCTCTCCCAGGAGAACTAACGCAGAGTGGGCTCCCTAGACTCACAGGATAGCTTAACAGAACTCTTTCATGGAAGTCTGGCCAGGAAGGAATGATGCTTCAGCTTCACTGGGCTGTCAAGGTGGGAAAGAAGGGGCAAGATCTTTAAAAGAGAAAACAAAAAGCCAGTTGAAATGAATGAGGAGCTGAGCCTCCATTTTAGCACAGGTACTACAATGATTTGTTTACCTGGCTCCTATAGTTCAAAGGCAAAAACTAGCTCTAATTCACTTATGCAAGCTTACTAACAAACAGCTAATATCCATCCATGACCACAGTAACACAGTAGTTTTCAAACTTTGCGTTGTTGGGTTTGAATATACAACTGTTTAATTTAATTTTTACAATATTCTCATGTGATAATTTATTACAACTCCACTCCTTCCCCACTAACAGATAAGAACCCTGAAGTTCAGGGATATTAAGTATTTTGTACAGGGTCACCAAGAAGTTCTAAAGTCAAGATATAAACCCAGGTCTGCCTGTGCTTCTTAATCACTGAGCTATGTATGTGATGATTAGATTAGTGTTTGACATGTGTGTTTGCTGAATAAAGGAACAAATGGATGGGTGCAGAGCCCAGTTTGGGGAATGCTCCTGAGCATACTGGGGAGGAAGCCTGACCCTGCCAGCTCTAAGCTGAAGGGAGAGTGGCAAGCACAGGAGTTCATCACAGCTATTTATAGGGCCAAAGTCAGCTCTGCCAGCCAGCCAGTCAGCAGAAAGTCTTGCCTGGGACACTGAATCCCACCAGGCTGAGAAGGGAAGGGCTTCCAATACTTAAGATGAAATGGTAATCTAGACACAGTCTGGGGCCCAGGTGTCCCATGCTCTGGCAACTGTGACAAACTTGTGGGTAAGCTCTATCAAGGAATGTAGAGACTTAGGGCTGGAACAAGCTGACAGACCTAGTCGACCAAGGGCATGGAACCATCTCATAATTACGAGATGCTCCCAATCATTAAAAAAGACAAAACTGCTTCTTGAAGTAGTCCCTGAAATTCTGTTCTTATTCAGGAAGCCCCTAGTATTGAAAGGAGAAGCAACATTATCCAATTCCTCTCATTTTTCTTCTTCCTCCCCACCCCCTACCCTCAGAGCTCCTCATTTTCCCTCTTCTTAGGAATCAAGATTAGCAGTCAGTTAGTAGAAAGAGTGAGCAAAGATCTATACAGCACTGTGTCCTTGGTGATTTCCTGTGTTCTTTGCTTGCTCACGTGCTTTGTGTCAGACACAGCAGACTTGGTTCCCTTGCACCTGTCATTCTTAATACCATGTGCCAATCCCAAAGATGTTATCTGATATTCAACAGGGGACAGAAGAGGAAATCCAAAATCAGTGGCAAGCCAAGCATCTTTCACAAGTCCAATAAGATCAGTGACAAGGTGAATCAAGCACCATGACAACAGCCAGATGGCAAGGAGACCAGTCCCAGCTCTACTCTTTTAGACTCATCCTTAGAAACAATGGCCTACACAAGCACTCATGGGCAAACTTTTCAACTTTTTGCTTACTTGGAAGAGACCTGCAAGGCAAACACGGTTTCTACTCTAAATGGTGGTACTGCCCAAGGCCTTACCACAACCCTCAGGGGGAAGATACCCAGGGCTATTACCAGCAATTGAGTTTCCTTTCAAAATCTTTAAGGTTGGAATATTTTGTAGGCTCAGGCCAAAGCCACAGGCTCTAGGAAAAGCCCCAAAGACTAGCTGCATCCAAAAAAGCAGTTTAAACTTTAGTGTCTTGAATTCACTCCTAGCTGAGGTCAGGTCTGCCTAACTGGTCCACTGTGACACACTGTTTTCTCTCTGAGCCCCTGGAACATAGTGTTAGGGACCCTTATGGTGATCTTTTTGTCTCACTGATTGATGGACCATGAATCTGTCCCCTCCAGACCTCCAAGGATGGCTCAGTTATCAGGTTAGGTGAAGTCTGGATCTTCATGCCACTAAGTGTCCTAACATATAGGGACAGAAAGCCTCCCATTTTAGAAGTTTCTACTAAACATTTGTCCTTAAAAAGAACCCAAATTGGTAATACCAAGAACGTTTCCATCCTTTTTCTGTGAAGCATTAAATATATACAATTTTCTACCCCCATTCTCAATGCAGTGTAGTGTATGCAGTTTTGACAGCTCTGGAGCAATAAAATCCTCTTGGCCAGTCTCAGCCTGGAACCTTCCAGTTCCCCTTTCCCTAGGTCAGAAGGCGACAATCTCCTCTCTGGCTTTGTTGGTATCCGTTTTAGTTTTAGCCCTTTTTTTTTTTTTCTGATCTTTCTCAAAACTTCCTCCAGGGGGCCAAGAGGAAAGTTCCATCCTCTTCCTTTGCAGCCTGAAGGGGGAACCCCCCCCCCCCCAAAGCACAACTGTCTCTTTAAGGGGCCCATGTGGTGGGAAGAGCAGCTACATTCCTACCCCTGTAGGGTCGCTGTCCCGACACGCCAAAGCGGCTACAAATAACCTTCTAGGAGAGAGCCCGGGAGGGGCAGAGCACAGTTGCAGAAAGAACGTGGGTCTGCCAGGCTACTACTACTCGGGAGGGGAAAAGCGGAGAGTAGTTAGAAAGAGCTCAGTCGGAGTTAGAGAGGGCATGGAAAAAGTCATTAAAACCCATGGGGAGTTGAAGTAACAGACACGAGAACTCTGTTTTGATTTGGGAGGTAAACCAACCTTTAAAAAAGTGCCCGGGCATCTCACACCCTGCCAAGAAAGTTCCGAAATCTGTGCTTTTTCCACACGAGCTCCTCTGTGTTAAAGAAAGAACCCGCTCAAGGCCAGGGACCACAGACCCCTCAATTCGGAACGCCACCCTTCATCGGGGCTGCGAAGAGAACGGGAAGATTTGGATTCCCCTCCAAGTTGAATAGCGGTGGTTGTAAAGAGTTGGGGTTCAAAGATTTAACTTCCTTGATCTTTGGGCACAAACTAGAGGCAGCTGCTAGATCACCGGGTACACCCACGGTCCTAGACGGCTGCGGAGAAACAGATTCCACTGGAACCCTAATCACACACAACAGTTGAGTACCGGCACCAAACAAGTTATTAATAAGGAGCAAATGAAGCAGCAGTCCTGCCGCCATCAGTCCAGCTCCCCCAAGGGCCACCGCACGGGCTCCGAGACTGCCTTCTGATGTTCGGCGATACCCGCCCCCTTTCCCTCCCGCCTTACTACCACCGCCAGGAGGGATCTGCAGGAGTCTTCCAGCAGTTTCTTCCCTGTGTCCCTCCTCTGCCGCTTTTCCAACCCGTTTTTCCCCTCCCCCGCTCCGGGAAGAATCCAGGGCAGGAAGCTGATTGGTCGCAGCCAGGAGAGGGAACCCAAAACACTACTAAGGGGAGATGCTGCGAGCGACCAGTGCCCAAAGACCCTCGGTGGGAACAAGGTCTGCAGTCCGAGGAACTGTTACTCCGGTAGAGAAAACTCCTGAGCTCAAGTATTCAGATTCCAGTGGAGCCCCTCTCCACGATTCGCCTGATACCCCCAGCCCCTGGAAGGAGGGCTATTTACAATTCATGGTTTAGCGGCCATCCTTCCCCGCCTTCCTTTCTTCACACACATTCATTCGCACCAAGGACACAGAGACCCTGGCCAGAAGGGGAAGAAGCCTTCAGCTCTTCAAAGAGTAGAGAGAAGGGGAGCGAACCTCTTGGATCTTCCCCGAGCCCGGCCTAGACCCTAGCCAGGGGGAGCTCCTCCACCGCTGCCCGATCTCAGACACGAGTAGCTGGGACGCTCCTGTTTCCCTCCCCGGCAGGCAATCTCAGGGCTACTGCTTGGAGTTGGGGCGAGGGGGTCTCAGGCTTCAGCATGCGCGGTCCCGCTCTCGAGAGGTGAGTCCTTCAGCCGCGGGACCCAGGGACAAACTTTCCCAGTGGGTTGGTCGGAGCGGGCGCAGCGCCGTCGCTTACCGTGTGCGCAGAGCAGGACGCCAAGCAGCAGCGCGCCCCAGGGCCGCCTCATGGTGCTGCGGCCGTCGCCGGCGCTCCCTGATGGCCTGGGGTCCCGCGGGGTCCCGCCGCTGGGCTTCGGCAGGACGCTGCGGCTGAGGGAGTCGGCCGAAGATCCCCGAAGGGAAGCGTCCCGGTCAGTGGAGGCGGGCACGCGCCGCAAGTCGCTCTCCAGCCGCTGCTGCCTCCAGTACTGCAGGAGCCAGAGCCTCCCCACCAGGGGACCGGGGGAGGGTGTCCCGGGCAGGCCTCAGCTCCCGCCCCCGCCCCTGCGCCTGGTCCCGCCCCCAGCGCCGGTTCGGCCCCTTCCCGCCCTCAGCCTCCGCCCCCCGGTCCCAGGGCCTCACCCGCTCTCAACTCCTGCTTGTGGCCCCTCTCCTCTTCGAGCTGTCCCCACATTCCTAGCCCTCGAGAGACCTCCCCGCTCCCTGTCCCCATTACTACTTCTCGAAGTCCCTAACTTAAACAAAATATTCTAGGAGCAACTCTTGGATCTCTCTCATTCTAGTTCCCTGCCAGCTGGGAGAACTCCGGCTGACCCAAGTCGCCTGGACGTGACCCTGGACCCCCTACCGGCCCTAACTCCACACTTTGTTGTTGTCTCAGAATACTCAAGGTTTGCTAATGCATAATCCTCTAGGTCTTTATTTGACATCAAACAAGGGAAATTATGGGGCCTAGAGTGCTGTATCTTAACTAGCATTCTCACTGTCAAAATTCCTTTTCTGAGATTTTCTTCTTGTCCACCACACCCTCCACGCCGGTCCAAGCAGCGTTGTTGTAAGGCTAAATGATACCTCCCTACCTCCCCTGTGCATTTACTCATTTCCTGAGGTGGTTGTCTGTGTCCTGTTGCCCCAGCTCTGACTTCCAGAACAGAAAAACAGTTCCTCCCTGCTGTCTTTGTAAACCAGCCTTGTCAGCTTCTTCACCTTCTTTGACTTTCTGATCCTGGTAAGGAAGTTTGTTCTGTCAGTTGCACTTCCCCAAAGACCTCAGCCTCCTCTCAGCTTCAGTCTGTAGGACCTTCCAGCAATTTAACTTTTGGGTTGCTACATGAAGTTATAGACTCTTCTCTTGTCTTAGCTTTGTGGCCTGTACATCTCCCCAGTGCATATTAATAATATGGGTTAATTTCCATTTTTTTACATTGAATCTTGTCTTGTTACTTTTGTCCAAGTCACCGACTTCCATAGGGTCCTATGTATCACTTTTCCCTCCATGCTGGTATGCCAACATTTCCTGGCTTGGGATCTTCTGTGATTTCATTAAACCACTTTTCCTCTTACTAGTAACAGGCTCAGGAAGACCCAAACGCCCCCTGTTAGCTGAGGGGAAAGTAATTTGGTATAGTGCAAAGTGGATATTAAGAGATTTCTCCAATGTATAGGTTGACATTTCATTCTTGCTTGTTTTCAAATATTCAAAGGCTTTCACTTCAAATCATCATCTTTGACCAAAGCTAACATTGACTTTGCAACAGCAACAAAAAAAGTGAGGTGCTAACTCCTTCTTCGCCAGTGCTTCTCTATATTGTTTGCCTGGAATTTTTATGCAGATAATATGTGGTTGAGCTAGCATCACTGTGGAAACTAAAACTGAGGTATTTTTCTGTGTGGGTAGTTCTTCTTGCTGACTGAAGGTGGCAGTAGAGTCAGGGCAGGTCAGCATGATATTACTGCTAGGAAAGACAGTCAACCTTTGTGGCCTATGTCACCTTAGCCTAAAATCTGAGGAGAAATAACTGAAAAGTAGAGGCTGATTCTCAACACACACATACTCACCCCCCCCCCCACAACATTTTTGGTGCAGCCTTGGTTAGTCTCAGGATTTCAATATGCTGCTTGTAAAGACTTGCTTTTTGACCCATTGAGAAAGACCTTATGATTCTGGAGACCATATTTTTTCCACATGAAAACTAAGGATGTATGGTCTGATGAATACATTTGTTCCAAAAAATCCAGGACAGGAAGTCACCATACTTTCAATGTCAGGGGATTAAGAATTTATAAACACCTGTATGCAAAGGACAGGTTCCTTTCCAGAAGGTATGATTTGTGTTGTTTTTCTGGGGTTGAGGAGGAAGGGGGAGGCTGGCTGTCCCTATGTGACTCAGCCTCTAGAGACTGAGTTTTCTGTGTGCATCCCAAGTCCTCGTCCTCTATGGGTCAGCCCATTTTTGGTGCGCAGAGCCATCCCTGGCTGCTGTGAGTCACTGGGAATATTAATGGGTAGAAATGAAACTCTGTGCACAGTCCCTGCCTGGGTTGCCCCCTAGGGTGAGTTAAGTCTTGGCTGTCAGAAACTGTTCTTGTGCCAGGAGTACTAAGCCATATTTATTTTTACCAGGTCTCTCAGGCTTTCTTGTGTGGAGTGAGAGATCCTGAAAAGCATGCCAGAATGGGCCATTTGTCTCCCTTTTATTGTCCTCTGGGACATGCCCCTAGAAAAGTTGTAGGTGACTGCCAATTCCAGAGGGGTCTCAGAGGCACTGGTTTCCTCAGAAACACTATCCCTTTCCTTCATCCTTCTAAGACACACCAGGGAACTGAATTTCCAAGGTCAGAATATTGCCTTGAATTAGATCATCACTAATGGCCTTTTCAAAGGAAACACTGGGAGTGCTACAGACACAATATATAAATGGGCACTTTTGATCCAGTTGGGTTGGTAGAATTCTCTTATAACCCAGGCATCACTCAACAACCTGAATTTCCAAATGTAATACCCCTAAAAGAATAAAAAGCCTGAAGTTTTACACTTTAAAAAAGTGGTTCTCAATCAGAAGTGATTTGCAGACATGAAGGAATACCTGGAGACAGTTTTGGGAATGGTTGCTCCTGGCAAATAATAGGTAGAGGCCAAGGATACTGCTAACGTTCTTGAGTAGGACATCCTTTCTCACAACAAAGAATTATCCAGCCCAAAATGTGCATAATGCTGAGGTTGAGAGACTCTGCTTTAAAGATTAAGAACATGAGTCTGCAAAGAATTCTCCATCTTTTCTCTAGAATCACACTCTTGTTAAGGCAATGTGAAAAGAAGGAAGGAGTTCTTAAAACTGTAGAAGGGAAAACAAGAAAAAGCACAGCTAAAGGAGCTAGAGGAATCCTATACCTACCTGCCTAGGGTGGCCTATTTCCAGTATTCATTCACTTAGTAAATAATTATTAAGGATATCTTATGTGCCAGGCACTGTAGAATCAGTGGCAAACAGGTATATTGGGTCCCTGGAACCTAAGTCTGATGGCTGGGGTGGGACCACAAGTATGCAGAGGCATTAAAAGAATGATCCCACAAATTAATTTGAAGTTACAAATGATAAGGGCAATCAAGGGTACAGGGTTTTGTGAGAGATTTGATATAGATTTGGGGATTCAAGGGAGACCTGTCAGAGGCATTGACACTTAAGCTGAGTAAGAGTCATTAAAATAAGAGTGAATGGGGTCTTCCAGGCAGAAGGAACAGTATTTGCAAAGGCCCTGAGCCAAGAAAGAGTCCATAGGGTTTTTGGAAAAGTAATATTAACCTTTATCAATGGGTACTTTTATCTAAGCCCGAGGGGCTACTACTGGAGACTGGGAATCAATTAGTATAAGGGAATAGTCTGATTTGCATTTCTGTGCTTTTTTTAAATTGCAAACCCTCCATACCACCATTTCTAGCACCAACCCTTTTCCTGTTCCAGTGCAGCAATGGTACTTGAGTCAGGATCTGGGGTACAATGGCTGATTCAGGACCCTGGCCTAACTTGGGCACACCCTGAAAAGTGAGACTTCCTAGCACTTTTTTATCTCCTGAAACTTTGGTATTCACACACCTAGCACATATAAGCAGAGCCTCTGCAGCAAATATCTCAGTATATCTTCCTTATGTCAGCAGCAAAGATAAATTTAGAATGGTGGATAAACAAATGGATCAATGAATAAATATTCACTTAATAACAAACATGAATCAAGCATCTATGTAAATGGTTCTCTCTGTTTCCATACTTGCCACTTTATAATTCTCTGCACAACAACCAGAGTAACTTCTTAAAAAAACATAAGTCAGATCATGTCATTACTGGACTTAAAACCTTCCCATGGCTTCCTTTGCACTTAGAATAATACCCATACTCCTCACATAGCCTTCAAGGTTCTTCATGATCTGGCCTCTGCCTACTTCTTAGACTGCTTTTCCTCTACTCATTCTGCTCTAGCTATACTGGCTTTCAGCTACTCAACGTGCTATCATTTCTGTCTTCCAACTTTAGCATGAGCAGTCTTCTCTACTTAGACTTAGAATGCTGTTTCCCCAGACCTTTACATGACTAGTCTGAGCTCGGTGTTACAGCCTCAGAGAAGTCTCACCTTACCACCCTAAGTTGCCTGTTTTCATTCACTGCCTCTCTGCTATTTTATTTAGGAGATTGGATAAAGCTTTATGGAAGTGATGGTGTTTAAGCCCAGATCTTCTAGAATTTGTAAGAGTTTACTAGCAGAAAATGCAAGAATGTATATTCTAGGTAGAGAGAAGAGCTAATGCCAAAGAAAGGTATAAAAAAATCTCAGTATGTTTGGGCATAGTAAGTAGGAAAATATGGCTGGAGTATTAAATATATAGGGAAGAGTCAATGTCAAGGTGGCTGGAAGAGTAGGTTGGGACCAGGACCAGGGTGTGAAGGGATATATATGTCTCCACATTAAGGAATTTTGCTATATCCTAGGAATGGTGAGTCAGCAACACTTTTAAAGTAAGGAAGTAACATGGTCAAATTCGAGTTTTAGAACAATAAGCTCTTATAACAATGTAGAGGATGGTTTGGGGGAGAAAAAAAAGACACAGTGACTATAGCTTTTTGTTCTAAGATTCTGAAATTTGGGAACTTCCATTTCATATCCTAAGTATATTTAATGATTCATAATGTATTCCCTCTCATCCTCCTGAACAAATTCTCTTAGCTTGCCTACATGCAGCATTGTCTCTATGCCTTCTGTTAAGTTAGTTGCTTCTTTTCTGGGCCTATTTGAACATATGGTGATCTGTAACACACAGTATTTAGGTGAAGGAAAGATATGCCAGTGCTTTCTGGTTGATTTTTTAATGCCCTTCTCAATGATGCCTTGCTTTTTGTTGACCTTTTTGTTTAATGAATTTGTTTCATGAATTGGTTCCTGAGGCAATCATAAATCCTATGGATTGGATGGCCTTCATTTTGAAATTTGAAAATTTGAAAATATAAAATTAAAATAAGGTACAAGTCTGTAATCACCTTTGAGCTCCAGTTCAATTTTAACCAGGTCCTCTTAACCACTTCCAGATAACACATTAATTAGTCTTAACTGTCCACGAGTTTTGTGAACATTTCTTTTCTTTGCAAATTCTCCCAAATCTCTGGTCTGTTGACATTGAGCAGTCCCAAATGACATGTCTGTAAATAGCATTTTAATTTAAACTTGTTAATCCCATACAGTGGCATCACACTTAGTTTCTGCTTTGTGCTTGCGGAAGGTGAGTCTTTTAAAAAGGGTCTATAGGCTTAGCATGAATTTCATGACCTGCTACTTTGCCTTTAGCATCTTTTCTGCTTGATGAGTTGGAAAAGCTTAAAGCTTCTCCTAGTTTCTTGAACCTGTTTTATAGCAATAATTCAGCCTGCATATTTTTTCTTTCCTTATTGGTTCTTTGAGCTTTAAAACTATATTATTACATTCATGCTTGCTTTTCCATAGTTTTCACTTTCAGGGAGGATTTACTTTTCTATCAACAGCTCCTCTGAAAAGCCAGCAATGTCTATTAATTTTCTCTTTATAACCAAGAATTATATGATAAACTGATGTCTCAATATATCCTCTTTCCTGTGTTTTTCCTGATGTTTTAAGTTTGATATTTCCATTCCTTATGCTGTAGCACTGACTCTAACATCTCATGCCTTCTCTGTAGTCTGATTAATTTCATATCACTTGCTTATGTTCAGGACAGTGGAGTTGTCTTCTGACTTTCTGGTTTACCTGAAGTCAGATGACTGTTTGTTTAGGTAAAAATTTCAGGAATATGCTATGATAATTTAAGAACCTGAAAACCCATCTAAGTTGAAGGCTGACATTTTTTTCTTAACATTCAACACAGTCACAAAGTATGACTTTAACCACTCTTACATATTTCCACTTTTATGAAGAACTGTGTTGTATGCCTCACTGAAAAATTTCCTCCCCCACTGATGTTTTGCCAAAATCTGTTATCGTGTAATCTATGGCAGAAGAGAAATCCAGAAGTAGTGGTTTCTTTTTGGGAAAAAAACAAACATTATCGGGACACTCATCACTTCTGCTGTAAAAATACTTTAAGGATTTTCAAGCCACTCATTTGCTGTTTGTTGGCTTGTTTTCAAGTTATAATACATGCCTATGATAGCAAATTTTGAGAATATACTATAAAGAAGAAAACTGTAAACAATCAGTAATTCTACCACCAGTAAGGTTACCTGTTATTTCTATGCAACCACAAACTTTCTTGAAGCCTTAGTCTAGCAAACTCCTACCCTTTTCTTCCTCTTCAATAGACTGTTCAGGACATTAAGAGTAGAAGACTGATTTTAAATATAAGGATCCTTAGGATTTCTATGGAAGGGATAGAGCTGTAGGAAAAACCTACAAATTGCTCCGGAGATGACATCTTGTTCTTATTTAGCTTTCTTTGAGTCATTAACAGTCAGGCGCCACTGGTGCTGAAACTTATCATTATTATAACCACAAATGGGTTAATGCCCAAACAAAGCTATATTCTTGGGGCTGGTTCCCAGCTCTACCACACAGACCCCAGCAGCAGCACCCTCCAAGTCCCAGGATAATGCTCCACAGAATGTCAAATGTTCAGCCTGGACTCAAAATTCTCTTCTTTTATCTGGGAGCTTCCAGTTGCTGGCAGGGTAGAGCAAAAGGAAAATAAATAAATACAAACCAAGCCAACAAAACCTTAAAAAAAAAGAGGCTGTCTGGTTTAGTGGTCAGACCACTAGCCTGGAGGTTGGGATAGCTGAGATCCAGTTCCAGCTCTGCAACTGATTGGCTGGATTGTGCTAGACAAGTCGTTTTCCTGACATGTTCCTCAGTTTCCCTACTTACAAAAGAGAGAAGTGCCTTAGAAAGTTGTTAGGAGGACAAATGAAATGATCTGCAAATAAGGTGACTTCAGGTGGCTGGGAAATAAAATGAAATTGTAAACCTTAATATAAGATTACTATCCTATTACTTTATTAATAATACAGTAATAAGCTATAGATGTGAAAGTTATGAAACTCCCACACCCTCAAGCTGCATAAGGTGAGGGTAGTGGGAAGTGAAGGTGGAGGAAGGCGGCAAATATATTTTATCAAATTTGCAGTACTTCACATCAATAATGAGTGAGTGAATTCATTACCTCAAAATAATACATGCTGCTCCTAGTTTAGCTCTGTCCCTTTGTGCTTACCACATCCAAACTCAGAATGACTCACAGGAGCCTAGAAATGAGACACATATACAATTTTAAGGAAAAGGGAGAATTAAGAGGTTTGAAGCTCCTGCTGGGTGAGGCTAAGAATAGACCACTCAGAACACAAAGAGCAGAAGCTCTTTTTTCCTTTTCCTCTCAGTGTAGGTGGTCCACTGGTTTCCCAGTCATTTCTTGGATAGCATGATTTTTGTTTTCTCTCTCTTCCTTCCTTTTTTTCTTCCCTTCCCTTTCTTTTCTTTCTTTGTCTCTTTTCAAGAGACCTCACCTTGTGTGTCTGTGAAGGTGCGGGATTTAACTAAAAAAAGTGAGGAATTGGCTTTTTCTAAGTTTTAACTATGACAAGTGCTACAGACCACTAACCTGTTGTTTCGAATGTAGAGGAGCAAAAGGAAAAATCTGGAGACCTGGTAACTTAAAAACAAATGAATGGTTTCTCCCCTTAAAGGAGAAGTGAACAGTTAGGCATATGAGGGAAAAAAATCCAATAGGTTTTCTCCTTTGTGCCCTCCATCTTCTCAAGAAGTGAAGCGTCTTGGTAGGAAAAAAGACACTTTGGAAGGGTACTAAATAGTAAGGGATAGGAGTCGAAGGAGGGACTAGAGGTAAAGAGAAATCTGAGAGGAAATGTCAGTGAACTCATAGGGAATTTAATAAGCACTTTCTGTGAGGCCAGCCCTGTCACAGGCAAGAAAGACACGTACATTCCTGACCTCAAGGAGCAGCCAAGATAATACGTATGTGAAACACTTTGTAGCAATTTAAGATAGTAAATAATAGATTAAAATGAGTAATGGGATATTATATGTTCATAGGAATTTGGGAGGGGAAGCTATTATCGTGAGTTTGGATAACAGCTGTATAAAGCGGAAATAGTTATGAAATTCAGAAATTGCGGATATGGAGAGCTGGCAGTAATTCTTCGACATCGGGAAATATGGATTCAAAAGGTTTCTCCACCTCAAATTTTTCTCAAACCAATTCCTCAATAATGGGAGTCCTAAGAAACCTCGACCGCGACGAAAAGACTGTTCCCGGAACCAGTGTGGCCAGCGTGGCGTTGCGATACGGGGACTGTTTGCGTGACACCTCCTCTGCCTCCCGCCTCTCCTCCCGCCGCTTGGGTGTCATGGCAACGGAAAGAACTGGCGATCTGGGCCGGAAGCCGGAGAGCTGGAGCTTGGAAGCTATTACAGTAAAAGAATGCTGAGTCCGGAGCGCCTCGCCCTACCGGACCACGAATATCTGGGTAGGAGTTTCCTTCAGTTTAGTGGAAGGAAAGAAGCGCAGATGAAATAAGCTAGGGGCTAGGAAGGAAGCGGGGGCGGGGTCTGAGTGGGAACTGGTTGGGGCGCAATAGGGAGGGGCGCGAGCTGGGGGAGCGTTCCTGGGCCTAAATGTGTGGGGCCGAGCTAGGAGGAAGACCGCGTCGGGCGAGTAAAGAATGTATTGTACCGGCTTAGGCAGTGTGGATTGTATGGAAAGTGGGATAGGTTGCAGTTTAGAACTGGGGGCCCTTTTGGGGTATTATTGATAGGCTGGTGGCGAACTAACCTCGGAACCTGAAATGGCTAGTCAGTCATACTGTTAGAGCCACAACTTACATTTTTGAGTGTTTCTTTTACACTAGGCACTATGCTAAGCATTTTATATATATTCTTTATTGAGTCTTCACAAGAGCCCTAGGGGGAAAGGCTGGTTTCTTTCCATTTTGCAGAAAAACTGAGGCTGAAGAAATAACTTGCATAAATAAAGCCACACATCCACAAAATGGTAGAGCTAGGATCAGAACCTAGTTTGCCCACTTCAGACCTTGAACTCTTGACTAACAAGGCTGTAATTGTAGTACTTTATTCAGCACCTTCAGTGTGTAAGGCATTTACTGGATGAAAAAAGGATGTATGTATGTGTGTGTATATATAATAATTATATACACACATCGAAGATACTTTTTTTAGAGCAATTTTAAATTTACAGGAAACCAAGCAGATATTACAGTGTTCCCATTTACTCCCTTTCTCCTCTCAGTTTCCTGTTATTGACATCTGATATTACTGTAGTACATTTATTAAAATTGATGAACCAATATTGATATATTATTATTAATTAAAGCTCATAGTTTACATTAGGGCTCACTCTGTTTTGTACAAGTACTATGGCTTTTGACAAAAGCATAATATCATGTATCTGCCATTATAGTATCATGCAGAATAGTTTCACTGCCCTAAATATCTTCTGTGGTCTACCTATTCATCTTTCTCCCTGCCCCCCAACCCTTGGCAACCACTGATCTTTTACTGTCTCTAAAGTTTTACTTTTCCAGAATGTTATATAGTTCGAGTCATAAAATAATATAAATTTAGGATCCCTTCATGTCTTTTCCTGGCTTAATAGCTCATTTCTTTTTATCACTTTATATCACAATTGTATGGATATAATTTTATATATATATATATTTTTTAACCTGAAAAACAATTCCAGTTAAAAATTTTGAATTGATAATATATAAACTGGATTAAAAAATATAAAGAAATTTATAGTGAGATGTCTTCTACCATCCCTTTCACCCCATCTGCCAGTTCCCATCCATCCTCAGCCCCTCATTAGCAACCACTTTTACTGGTTTCCAGTGTATTCTTCCAGAGTTTAGTTTATTATGTACAGAAGGGAGAATACATGGTTTTTTCACTTAATATATCTCAGAGTAATTTCTGTGTCAGTACAGAGCTTCTTCATTCTTTTTTATTTTTCAGCTGTGTAATATTTAAATAATTTAACCAATTCTCTATTGGTAGACAAGTTGTTTTAGCCTTCTGCTATTACTAAAAAGAACCCACTTAATAACCTGCAGTTCTGTTCCTTTACTAGTTAAATCTGTAAGAATAAATTCCACACAGTAGAATTGATGCATCAGGGATATATGCATTTCAAACATTGATAGATACTGCCAAATTGTCCTTCATGGGAGTTGTACCATTTTACACTGCTACTAGAAATGTAAGAGAATGCCTATTTTCCCATAATCTTTCCAACAAAATACATCAAACTTTTGGATATCACCCTGTTAAGTGACATTTGACCAAGAGTAGATTTTATGTGCATTTCTTTTATGAAGTTGAAAATCTTTTCACCAAGTTTAAGGGCTGTTTGGTTTTTGAAAGTCATGCACACACACACACACGTGTGTGTATATATATACATATAACATATAGAGAAATGTATACATATTTATACCTACATAATGTATATAGAGAGGAATATACATCTATATATGTAGAATATGTATATATATGTGTATAATATAGAGGGCAATGTACATTTTTATAGAGAGAGATTAATTGACCTCATCCATTAGTAGCCAAAAGGGCGTAGTTATATCAAAGATAGTTCTGCTTCCAATTAGTAATAATATCAATGTCTAGTAATGTCAAGACTTCTGGCAAGGATTTAATGTATTTTATCTTATTTACCCGGTACTAAAATCCATGAAAGATTTAAAAGCCTAGTCACTTTCTTGGGTGAAGGCAAAATCTGGTGTGCTAAGACCACCACCCCTTAAAATCCAATCACCAATGACCAGATGGTTGCCCACCCCTTAAGATCCAATTACCAACGCAGAACACACCCTACCCATACTCCTTCAAAATGCACTTCCTCACCCATGAGCTGCTGCTCCCTCTCTCTGGGGGCAGCCATTTTCTCTTTCAGATAATAAAATCTCTTGTGGGGGCCTGTGTCTCCTGAATCGTTCTGGGGTAAGGAGGGTTGCTGTGAGATACCCTTTCATTGGTGCCGTGACTCAGATGAGGTTCTCCCATTGACTTTGCTCTTCCTCTGGGAATATGAGCTGCTTTGGGAACCCTCACTGCCCAATCCTCCTCCACCAGCTCACCGTCCATTTCCCATGTCGCTCGTCTTCTCGCCCAACACCAGCCTTCAATTTGGTAAGTCTCCCCTTCATGGTCGACTTAAATGTCCCTTTGGTACCTGGGAAGTGACCGTTGAGTGTCCGGCACTAAGGGTTCCTCCAGGACAGGGGCACCCCCAACCACAGCTTTCAGAGTCATGGTAGATCCCCATAGTCGACCCTCCTCTGCCTCCCCATGGTGAGAATCCTCCTTCACGGAGGCCCGGTCTCCCTTTATCTACTCGTACGCTCTTGGTACCAGGTACCAGGCCTCGTCGGCGTTTTCACATCGACCGCTCGGTTAGAGGTGATGATGACCCCCTAACTGTGTCTTGTCTTCTCCGCGACTTTCTCAATCACTCTGGGATGCCTCAGCGACTTGTGAACGGTTTCATTCTCACCATGGGATCTGGCCCCTCCATTCCCACAGATTCGCTGCTGGGGTGCTTACTCTATAATCAAAAGCCCCTCCACCTTACTTCAGACCTCAGACCTTTTAAGCTTATTCACTACTGTAATGAGATCTGGCCACAGTATTCCTTGAACAGTCTAAATGGCTTCCCAATGGCTCTTTAGATCCTAAATTTCTCTGTGACTTATACAACTTCTGTGAGTGCATGGGCAAGTGGAAACAGATTCCTTATATCCAGGCTTTCTCCTACCTCCGAACAAAGCCCTCTCTCTGTCTCCCCTGCAATCCTAAACACCTACTACTCGCCATAAAATCCTCACCCTCCAACAAACCAGATCCCACTATATCCCCTGACTTTGACCCTGCTGACAAACCCTGACCCTACCGACCCCAAATCCTCACTGCACTACCTCTTTCTCCTCCTCCTCCTCAGCCACCCAGTCCATCCATTGCCACTGTGGAAACTGCCCAGCCTCCTTCCCCACAACCCTCACCAAGTCTCCCACCACAAGCTCGCATCAGCAGTGGGGCAACAAACCTGCCTCCTCAACCGCAACCAGTTTCCCTCCCATCCTGAGATCCCCTACCAAGTGCCCCAGTTACTCGCTCTTATACCCAAATCAAAGACCCACTAGCGGGCACAGAAGGCGTTGTCCGAGTCCATGTCCCTTTCTCTGTCTCTGACATATCTCAAACTGAGAAAAGATGAGGCTCTTTCACCTCCAACCCAGCTACTTACATAAAAGAGTTCCAGTACCTAACTCAGTCATATGATCTTACCTTTCATGATATTCACATGATCCTATCCAACACACTTTGGCCGAGGAGCGTAAGCGAGTCTGGGAACAGGCTAGAACTCATGACAATGAGGCTCACCAAACTACTCCAGCTCATCCAACTGGTGCTGAGGGGGTTCCTGACCAAGACCCTAACTGGGACTATAATACAGCAGGGGGAGTCACCAGTCGAGATCAATTCATCACCTGCCTCGTGGTGGGTCTTAGGAAGTCAGCCAATAAAGCCATTCACTATGAAAAACTCCAAGAGCTTATTCAGGATAAAATGAGAATCCCTCTATGTTCCTAGACCCCCTCACCAAAGCTCTTTTACTTTATACAAACATAGACCCTGAGGCCCCAGATGGGAGACAATTATTAATGACCTACTTCTTCACCCAGAGTTTCCCTGACATTAAGGCTAAACTTAAACGTCTAGAGAAAGGACCCTTAACTCCTCAGGCAGAAGTCCTGGCAGTGGCCTTCAAAGTATATAATGGAAGAGATGAAAAGGCCTGTAAACAAAAATATCAAATGCTGGCTAAGGCCTTTCAACCTACCCCAACCACTGGTGCTCGGGTAGCCTCACTTCCTAAGAAGCAGCCAGGAAGACCTCCTGGTCCATGTTTCAAATGTGGTCAAATGGGCCATTGGGCCAGAGCCTGCCCAAATCCCCGGAAGTCCCCCAGTCCATGCTCTAAGTGCCATCAGGAGGGACACTGGGCTGTTGACTGTGCTCACAAACCGAGAGGTGCCAGGCCATCCAGCTCTAACAGTCCACACATAGACGTTCTGGGTCTGACAACTGATGATTGAGGGGGCCCGGGACTCCTCCATCCGACCACTACCATCACTGTACAGGAGCCCAGGGTAACCATTGTGGTAGCAGGTAGGCCCATCGCTTTCCTTTTGGACACTGGTGCCACCTATTCAGTCCTGAAGGAGTTTTAGGGACATCCCTCCCTCTCACAGTCCTCTATAGTTGGGGTAGAGAGCACACTTCATCAACCTTTACAAACTCCCATGCTTCACTGCATCTTTAGAGGCATTGCCCTCTCTCACTCCTTTTTGGTGATTCCCCATTGTCCCATTCCCCCTTATGGGAAGAGACCTATTCACAAGGTTGGAGCTTCCATTATTTTTAGCTCCCGGACCACGCCTCAACCCCGACTCACCTTCAATCCCACTTTTACTGGCCCTCCAACCCGCTGCAAACCCACCTCCCTCTCCCTTTCCTCTGCCACCCCATTTGGTCAACCCTGTAGTCTGGGATGCCCTCACCCCCTCTATCACCACCTGCCCCCCCAGTAATTATCAGACTTAAAGACCCTGCCTCTTTTCCCTCTCAACCTCAGTACCCGCTGCCCCTCAAGAGTTTACTGGCCCTGCAGCCAATTATCCAGGAACTTTTTATACGAACGGCTACTACGACCAGCCAGTTCCCCTTACAACACCTTGATACTGGCTATCAAACCTAATGGCTCTTATAGGCTAGTTCAAGATTTAAGAATTATCAGTGTGCCTGTTATTCCAATCCATCCAGTAGTCCCTAACCCCTATACTTTATTATCCACTATCCCCACCTCTTCTACTTACTTCTCCGTCCTTGACCTCAAATATGCATTCTTCACTATTCTCTTCCATCCCATTGGGACCACTTACACCTTCAAATCCTCCAGTAATCTACTGTACAACCCAAACAGAACTTCCTTACAGCTGCATAAGGTGGCATATGTGCCCTACTCCAAGAACAATGCTGCTTCTACACAAACAAATCCGGTCTCATCTGGGATGGTGCAAAACACCTCTGTGAACAAGCCTCCAAACTCCTAGAAAACTCCCCTAACAATATGTTCCCTTACCCCTTCAATTGGCTCCTGCCCCTCCTAGCCCCTATTACCTTTATTCTTCTTCTTCTCCTTTCCCTTCCCTGCTTCATTCAGCTATTCCAAAAATTCATTCAAAATCAAATTTTGAAAATTTCTAACTATACTGTCAACCAGTTACTCCTCCAGGGCTATCAAGGCCTTTTCACGAAGAATAAAGAAACTAGCTAGATGACATCACGAATCATCTCAAGATGCCCACCCTTCTCCAAGTCTACAGCAACGGCCTCGCTAACCCCAGAATCTGCACCCCCTTCCTGCAGGAAGTAGCTAGAGAATGAGATTCTATGCCCAGTTCCCCAGAGGCCCAATTAAGAAAAGAAAAAGATGGGAATTAAGGCAAATTCTGGCGTGCTAAGACCCCTACCCCTTAAGATCCAATCACCAACAACCAGATGGTCGCCCACCCCTTAAGATACAATCACCAACGCAGAACACACCCTTCCCCTACTCCTTAAAGACGTGCTTCCTCACCCACGAGCTGCTGCTCCCTCTCTCTGTGGGCAGCCATTTTCTCTTTCAGATAATAAAATCTCTTGCATGGACCCATGTCTCCGGAGTCATTCTGGGGTAAGGAGGGTAGTGGCGAGATACCCTTTCAAGTAGGAAGAAAGGAAAGTCAGAAGGGAAAGAAAGGAAAGAGATATTCTGAGCATATTTATTATAATTTTAAAGTTTTATATATTATAAATCTAGTTCCAAAGATTTAGGAAGTCAATGTAACATCCATAATATTTTATTTTGTTTCCTTTGACAACGCAGCACTTTAAAGTCCTCAGAAAATTTCTGCTAACTTATTGCAAATAGCAATGTTTCCTGGTGTAGGGTGGGTTTGGGAAGATTCACTAATTGTATTCAAACAAAAATAAGTTTGCTTGTCAGGATTTATCCAAAAGAAGAAAAAAACAAAACAAAAAAAGCATCTGGCAATAAGACAAGTAAATATGTTCCTAACCATGTGCTATGATACCAGCAAATAAAAAAATTAATAAGATTAGTACACTTAAAAGTCTCCCACAAAGAAAGAGTCATATGTCAGAACCTCTGCCACGGCTAGAAGAAACTGTATTAACCTCATGGCTGGAAGGAACCGTATCAGTGACTGTTGGATATGCAGGTACTCTGCCTAGCTGACAGCAAGACAAGATTAGACATGCAAGGGATATACTGGGGGAAATGCTCATAGGAGAAAATAGGGAGGGAGCTGGAAGAGGCTGAGAGAGCTGACAGACCACAGTGCAGGGTTGACCATGTAAAAAAGAATGTTAGACTGCAATGCAGTGGGATTCTTTAAGCCAGAGTTGCCATTGGAGGAGTCATACATCTCACAGAAGTGGGTTCTGTCCCACCCAGTCATTGGCTGGGAGCAACATGCGGGAAGTGTGACCTCAGTGTGAAGGTGTAGGATTCAGCTGGGATTGGGAATTAATTATCCTTCTCTCCACAGAGTAGAAGATCTGACATTTACATCGTTGCCTCAGATGTTAATAAATATTTTTATAAAAGTACAGTAATAATAGCAACCAATATTTATTGAGCTCCTACTCAGGTGCTATAAAAGGAAAGGTATCTTACTCATTTCTGTGTACTCTCTTTTCACAATGTAGACACAACTGCAGCAGCCAGGCATTACTCTAAAAGTTTACATGCACGAGGATAAGTACTATACCCACATTTTGCCAATAAGGAAACTAAGGTTAAGTAACTTCTTCAAGGTCACACAGCTACCCGAAGTACGCATATTACTGTAAATAAAACTCCCAAATGGCTTATTTTTAAAAGTTACCTTCCTCATTGCCTAACTCTGAGAGATGAGTCCAGTGGCAAGGGGGAACTGGAATTTTACTATCTTCTGATCCATCCTGATTCCTAGAATGCCCTGTTCCTGGCAGAAATGCTAATTAAGCCCTTGGAGTCACCTGAAATAACTCTAGGATGATGCATGCAAAGGTCTATGTAATAGTTGGAACCTCTTTTTTTTGGAGTTGTTCAGGGCATTTATAGCATGAAGCTTAACAATAGGAACTCTAGAGTCAGATTTCTGGACTAGATTTGTGCCTCCACAATTTACTAATTAGTTATTTAATATCTTTGTGCTGCAGTTTCCGCATCTGTGAAATGGAGATACCAATTGAAGCTATCTTCATATGTAAAGCACTTAAATGTTACCTGGCATAATAAGTACTTAATAAGTCTTAGTTGCTGTTGTTAGCTGTTCACATTTGGGGTATCCTAAAGTCAGATTACCCATATTCAATTTAACATACATGCATGTGTTTAGTGTCTACGTTGTGAAAGGCAGGTATGCAATGGTAAGATACAACTCTTGTTCTCAGAAAACTTATCTGCAACTTATGAACAGTTTAAGAGCTCCATCCTTAACAGAGAACCAAAGATTACTGCCCTTTGCAGGCAATATTTTGGTTTGTTTTTATTGTCTTAGTTGAGAGAGAAAAACAGGCTATGGAATCAAGAAACCTGGGTTTGAACCCCTGCTTTGCTATGCATCATCACCTACGTGATTTTGTATAAATATTTTAGCCTTTGTAAGTCTGTTTCCTTATTTATAAAATGAGATATTAATTACTAAATTGGACTAATAATACCTACTATGAATAGTGGTTGTAAAATTAAATGAGATAAGGCACAGTGCTATAAAAGCATAAAGTACTCAAAAACTATGGCTTTAAAAAAACTATCCAATTTCTTGTGATTCCTCTATAAGTACAGCCTCCAAAGGAGAAAGACCATCTATGATCTCCTGGAGTTAATCTCTTATGCCAACCAACAACCAACATTAGTGAGAGTTTCCATGGAAACAGAAGAGGCAATTTGGAACATGAGTAAAGTATGCACCTCACCAAATTAGGGTGGGGTAAAAATAAACCTCACACCCTCATGTTTATACTCAGGTCAGCACGTAGGTGGTGTGTTTTGCAAACCTGGGGTCAGAACAGGCTGCCCTTTGGCTCTAGAGAGCTCTCCACACCCAGCCAGATACACAGACACACCTCAGCCTCTGGCAGAAGCTTCCAATAAGTAGATTTCATAAGGCTGGAAATATTTCAAAGGTTCTGTACTTAATTCCTTACCAGATTCTCTTCTTTCTATTCAGGCTTAGGCATTAACAAAATTTCTATCATTACATTCTGATGACTGCAGACATGAACATCATTGAGCTGATTCTGTAATGATAATCCTAAAATCCTAAACCATTCCAGGACATGATTATAGGTTCCTAATCCACAAAGTCATTTGGGAATGGATCGGTGTAACCAACATAATAAAAGACTGTTTTCTTCACTAATGGTCAAAAGGCAAATATAAGCCCTGGCTAGCAGGTAGAAGGGAAAATCTATAGATATTCACTGAATAGGTATCCCTGTTATTTATACCATAATATTAAAGAGGTCTCAGGCATACTAACCAAGGAGTACTAAGCTTTGGCTTTTCTGTTGCACTGAATGCTTAGACTTTTCAAGTCTCTGAAAATTTTTTTTCCTCTATATTGTATTTTCTTCTCTAGACCAAAACATGTAAGTGACTTTATAATTTTTTTTTAAAGGAAGAAAGAAAAATCAAAACCCTCCACAGGAATTTAAAATTTTAAGTCAGGAAATATTTTATTGAATGAATCTGTAGGGCATGCTTTTAAATGGTTGTTAAATTGAGGATGAATGCTTCAAAACAGCATGTCTCTAAAAGAGACCAAATTGTAATGGCCAGGGATTGTTCTCAACTAAAGACAAATGCATTTCAGCAGACTTATACGGTTTGATGAAACTAAGGAAGCCAGTGAGTGTATGATTCTGGCAAAGGCAGTATGGATGTCTAGATGGTGACTGTGACAGGGAGGTAAGACACCTAAATATGCAACATAGCATGAAGAAATGCTTGTCCAGGGTTCAAGCCCTGGGTGGTTGAACACTGAAGTTTTTTCAAACAACCTCAGATTCCGATTCTCTTTGTAAATTCATTCTCAACCTTGCCACTGAATTAATCTACCTCAAAAAGCCACTTATGAAGGAGCCACCAACTTCTACTTATCAAAACAAGAGTATATTAAATATGTCAACCCATTGAGGTACATAATTTAAACAACAAACACCCAATGAAAGGGTATCTCGCCACTACCCTCCTTACCCCAGAACGACTCCGGAGACATGGGTCCATGCAAGAGATTTTATTATCTGAAAGAGAAAATGGCTGCCCACAGAGAGAGGGAGCAGCAGCTCGTGGGTGAGGAAGCACGTCTTTAAGGAGTAGGGGAAGGGTGTGTTCTGCGTTGGTGATTGTATCTTAAGGGGTGGGCGACCATCTGGTTGTTGGTGATTGGATCTTAAGGGGTAGGGGTCTTAGCACGCCAGAATTTGCCTTAATTCCCATCTTTTTCTTTTCTTAATTGGGCCTCTGGGGAACTGGGCATAGAATCTCATTCTCTAGCTACTTCCTGCAGGAAGGGGGTGCAGATTCTGGGGTTAGCGAGGCCGTTGCTGTAGACTTGGAGAAGGGTGGGCATCTTGAGATGATTCGTGATGTCATCTAGCTAGTTTCTTTATTCTTCGTGAAAAGGCCTTGATAGCCCTGGAGGAGTAACTGGTTGACAGTATAGTTAGAAATTTTCAAAATTTGATTTTGAATGAATTTTTGGAATAGCTGAATGAAGCAGGGAAGGGAAAGGAGAAGAAGAAGAATAAAGGTAATAGGGGCTAGGAGGGGCAGGAGCCAATTGAAGGGGTAAGGGAACAGATTGTTAGGGGAGTTTTCTAGGAGTTTGGAGGCTTGTTCACAGAGGTGTTTTGCACCATCCCAGATGAGACCGGATTTGTTTGTGTAGAAGCAGCATTGTTCTTGGAGTAGGGCACATATGCCACCTTATGCAGCTGTAAGGAAGTTCTGTTTGGGTTGTACAGTAGATTACTGGAGGATTTGAAGGTGTAAGTGGTCCCAATGGGATGGAAGAGAATAGTGAAGAATGCATATTTGAGGTCAAGGACGGAGAAGTAAGTAGAAGAGGTGGGGATAGTGGATAATAAAGTATAGGGGTTAGGGACTACTGGATGGATTGGAATAACAGGCACACTGATAATTCTTAAATCTTGAACTAGCCTATAAGAGCCATTAGGTTTGATAGCCAGTATCAAGGTGTTGTAAGGGGAACTGGCTGGTCGTAGTAGCCGTTCGTATAAAAAGTTCCTGGATAATTGGCTGCAGGGCCAGTAAACTCTTGAGGGGCAGCGGGTACTGAGGTTGAGAGGGAAAAGAGGCAGGGTCTTTAAGTCTGATAATTACTGGGGGGGCAGGTGGTGATAGAGGGGGTGAGGGCATCCCAGACTACAGGGTTGACCAAATGGGGTGGCAGAGGAAAGGGAGAGGGAGGTGGGTTTGCAGCGGGTTGGAGGGCCAGTAAAAGTGGGATTGAAGGTGAGTCGGGGTTGAGGCGTGGTCCGGGAGCTAAAAATAATGGAAGCTCCAACCTTGTGAATAGGTCTCTTCCCATAAGGGGGAATGGGACAATGGGGAATCACCAAAAAGGAG